TATTCCTACACCAGCACTTTCCTCTGCTCTGGCTTTCTATGATGGCTACCGGTCTGGAGTCCTCCCAGCAAATCTAATTCAGGTATTTAGTTCCTTCCCTTTTTTTTTTTTTTTTTTTTTTTTTTTTTTTTTTTTTTTTTTCCTTCCATCCATCCTTCCTTCCTTTCTAATTTGTACTACTTTTTCCTTCCCCTCCTTTTTCTGTTTTTGTGGATGGAGGATTAAATTTTTTCCTTATGTTATGTAATACAATGTGGATGGGGTAAATGAAGCAACATTTTCCATAACCCTTGGCATTGATTCTCCTCGTCTTTCCAGGCTCAACGTGACTACTTTGGAGCCCATACTTATGAGCTTGCAGACGCCCCCGGCAAGTTCCACCACACTAACTGGACTGGCACCGGAGGCAACGTCTCTGCCACAACATATGATGCCTAAAGAGTTCCCATCAGATATTTAACATTACTGTCTTGGTGCCTGAAGGTGAAGACAGCTACGGTGGTGAAGTCTTCCCAAACATGCTCTCTTGGGTAGTCAAAATGAACAACAGACCAATTTGACTGTTTTATATATGTGTGTATATAATACATCGAAATGGATACTTGGAAAATTACTAATATCACAAATGAGTTGTGATTATTAACTATAATAACTGTAATTGTTTTAAGTAACTATGCACATGTGTATGAAACCAGTATCTTCTGGAATAAGTAATACATTTGTTGAATGGATGTCTGAAAAACCAAGATAGTAATTTCTGCCTCGTTTTTGATACATTCCACGAGTAGCTTTATGTAATTAAATTATTTTTAAAATATGAGACTAGTATTAAATAGATTGTTGGTAATGTATTACATTTTATAACTGGTTATTTTACTAATAACCTGCAATACAGATTTGTAAGGTATATATATATATAATGCCAAATATCTATTTGATAAAAGTAGATAGATTTAGACTGGATTTGTTTCAAGAATTTTTTGTAAAAAAGGAGAGAGAAAATTTTTTCATAAAGCCTTAGTGATATTTTAGATGTTGTTTATTACTGTCATATGATGGTTTATTTACAATCCCATTCTTATGAGCTTTGTCATATTGAATTTCTCCAGGACTCTGTATTTTTTCTGCTTCAGATCTCAAAAATAATTCAGTGTTAATATTTTTTGCCTCTTCATTTATCAGTATTGTTCTTAAGAATGTATTGTCTTGTCTCTGCTCTTTTGTATTTTAGTAACACAAATTTTATTTCTATAATAAAGCCCATTTTTGAAATAAAAGTAAGATATATGTAAAGAACATTTTTTTTTTTTTTTTTGCTATCCCAGTTAAGATGATATATTTTTAAACCTTCGGTTGAATGAAATATGCGACTGCTTGGTGAAACTGAAACTTAATGTTTAGTGTGTGCAGTTTTAAATACAAGTAGGTACATGCTATACACAATATATTGTATTTCTCTATCAATATTTCCAGATACTCTGATACAAGTGACCACAACAATTAAATGTTTAGATTTTCTTAACATTTCTATAGAAAACATTTTTTAGTCTGAATCTTTCATACTTTATTGTTGACATGGGGGGACTTTGCAGACGGAGACTGGGGCCTAAGGTAGGGGATCACCCATAGCCTCAACTAATTTTGCATGGTCTTTTCTACCCCTTTCCTTCTCTTCATCCCTTTCTGTCCACTTCTTAAGGTGTGAGAGCCGTGCTGAAAGGATGAAAGGCTGGCTTTGTGTCAGTCCTGAACGGCCTTCTTAATCCGTTTTGCCCTTTCCTCTTTACCCTTCCCACTACCATATTAATCTACAGCGCTTAGGCTTCTAACATTTTGCCCTAGCCATTAACTCACCCTTGTTTAATGTTTAATGTTTGAAAATAAATGTGCTAGACATCAGAGGTCATATAGCACTATGGTACAGTATTGCGTCAGAAAGGGCAAAGGAGAGTTAAAGATTATGATAAAATGTGTTTGATGTCAAAGGTTTAAGAACGTTATAGGATAATATGGTAGTGAAAAGGGGGATAGAGGAGCAAGTGAGCTAGAGCAGAAGTTAGTATAAAGGAGAGGGTAAGGCGATTGAGTGAATTATAGTGTATCAGTCACTGGAGAATGTATAGTGCTGCATGACCCTTGAGATCTGGCACATTTATTTCCTTTGGCAATTATCCATTCTAGTGTTATGACACAATAGAAGTCCAGGGTATTATTTAGTGCCCATAGCAAGGTCAAAATTCATGTCCGGGGAAAAAAGAAACATGCATAGACATAACTCCATTCAATAGGTTTTTTTATACATTAATTATATATTGATGTATATTATAGGAAAACAAAATCCTGCTCCTATACATTGCATCCTATCCTATTTACATAAAAAATAACAAAATACTTGGCGGAGAGTGACCACAGGCAGTGACGCACAAAACCCGAGCTTTACAATATGGCGGAGCGCCAGGTGGCGGTGCGGTCGGAGTCAGCCAAGGAGTGAGCTCGAGTCAGCCACCGAAACAGGTCAGGTCGGATTCCGAAACATTTGCATTACGTGATTCACGTATTATGCCAGGTCACCGAAACACTTTAAATTAATTAAATGATTATTCATATATTGAAAATGTAATAACCAAATGACTAAATCTAAATAAACGTCATAGAATTTATTTACTACATTAATTAATTCACCCATACCACCTCCACCCTTAAATGAAATTTATTGAGAAATTTTAACGTAGTTCATCACTATACTCTCGAAAGACTATCAGCCAAGACGTTATCTTTACCTTTTATGTTTTATTTCAAGATTGAATTGCTGTATCATTAAAGGCCATCTCATTAACCTTGATTTAATTAATTAAATGATTATTCATATATTGAAATGAAAATGTAATAACTAAATAATAACAATCTAAATAAACGTTATAATACAATTAATTTACTATATTAATTAATTCACCCATAACACTGGGAATCCACAATCTTCGCGCTATGTACCAAGCCTCACCCTATCGCTGTATTTTGAATACGACGCTAATGACAGGTGTTGACACGGTGGAAAATTTTCAATAACAAATAATCTGTATCCTTCAGGCCGACCCTGTTGGATTTTAGCTCTCATACCCTTGACGACCTGAGAGTATTAAACCAAAATAGGGTCATCATCACAGATCAAGGAAACAAGCAATTATGAGGTTCAAATAAGAATAAGTTTTGATAATTTCTACTTATGAAGAAAAGAACAAGTAACGTCTTTATTCTTGAGATCGTATCACTGTGATAAGGCTGTAGATTCCATATCATTTAAGTTTTGCACTACGTAAGTTGCTCTATACTGAAAAAAACTGCCGCATAAGACAGGACTTAAGGGATGCGAGTAGAGGGAGAGGTTCTGCTTTATAGTACGGGAATAGATAAATAACCTGTAATTACGCCACATTCAGAACGGAACTGCCACATCAACTTAGTCAGGGTTTGATTGGGAGATGCGGGACATGTTGAGAAGGGAGGGTAGGTGTGGATAATCATGCCTTCCGCACATCCAAGACGAAGTGATCACCTACAGAGAAAATAAGAAGTCCCGGAGCGCCACATAAATTCTGAACGATTTGGGCAAAATTGCCGGTACAGGCATCATCCTGGACAGGCCAACGTAATGGAAAGGAACTGCATTGGTGTACCAATTAGCATACTACAGTGATCGGTATAATCGTGTAATTATCTTATTGACTTCTGTCTGTTTATAGGTTAAGAGCCATTTATAGTATATTTCACTATGGTAAAATGGCAATTCATGACTTCTATACGCACTCTCGTACGAAATACATATTTCCTTTAAGACACTAAAAGACTTCATTCCCCCCATACGCGCAAAGCTCAAGCTATGCCTCCCTCTTACCACTCCTTCGATTTCCCCCGAAATTCATCCTCAATACTTTTACCTTCAACTTATCTTAGGCAATCCGGCGGAAGAGTTACTTGTGGCTAGTGTGGTCATTTATGTATTCAAAAGGGAAACGGACTGAAGAGTCAAGTACATAGGTCTCAAGAAGGTCCCGTAAATGAGCTGAAAAATATATAGGAATTGTGTCAGTCTTCTGTTTGGAATCCTGGCGAAGGCTTCGGTCCAATCAAGTAGCATGGAGTCAACTTGCTTAATGCCACGGCATTTTGGATATTAGTTTGATTGAGTAATTGGATAAAGAGGGTTCGAAGGATGAGAGGACAGGACCTCAGGATTGGAGGATTCTCAAACGCGTTAAGGCGCCGTATTTCCTGAACGCGCCTTAACTTAAGGCTTTTTAGAGA